CATAAAACTAATGCTTTTAATAATTTTTTTTCATAAAACTAATCGCAATTTTTAATTAATGTTTTTTCGGTCCAGGTAATAATTTTTTTAAAACCGAATTGCTGGTAATTTTTGTTCATCCAATATTCGACTTTTGAAATCCAAAAACACATTTTTAAAATTTTATTTGCAATTGTAATAGCAAGAACAAAAAAAGTATTTCAACAATTAAAAACTGAACTCGAAATTTTATAACAATAAATGCAAAGACTTCCAATACAAAAAAGATTTAAATACATCCAAACCCTAACAGGTGCTAAACCCCGAAGGCAGTTAAAGGTCATTTTAACCCTAAACAAAAACAGCACCTGATCACCCTTGCTGTTAAACGTAGTTTATCATCTTACCCAGGACTCTAATGAAGTGTATAATCAACCCAGGACAAACATATATATATAATAAATACATATTTATATCTTATTTATAAAAAAAAAGGCTAACAACACCAAAATCACTAACATTTTCAAAGGCAAAACAAAACTTAATATAAAAAAAAAAAACTCCAACAACTCTGTACCATCTTCAACTTAGGAAACAAACCAATTTTTTTTTTAAGCAAAAAATGCAGAAAGATGGTTCCTTTAAATAAAAAAAAAAATAATAGATGATTATCAACATGGCTACGTCTACGGCAAAATAAAAAACTCATAAACTAAGTGAATCATAAACGAAAAAATCCTCTCACATATCCCTACTTTGAATCGAGCATATTTATAAATAAATCAAAATAATATAAAGAACCATAGAATAACCAACAGATATTGCATCAAATTGACTAATATTTAATACAAATATATATCATATATATATATATATTATATATATATATAAACCTTTATATAATTTATGTCCAGCAAAAATGTTTAATTACTAAATAATTCTATAAATAGAATTATTCTTTTCTTCCTTGAAGAACTACTATTAATATACATCAGGAAGTCCCCATTTGTACGAAAAAGGAAATTTGAATACAGAAAAAAATTGAAATTATCAAAGTGGGGTCTGTCTTGAATATAGGTCCTATATTCTGTCACTCCTTTTACGTTACACTATATCAGATGAACACTTTAAACAAAGTTAGCAACATTTACATATTTACATTCTTGAATCTTTTATAACAATATCGAAAATATTATTCAATTTATAAATTTAAAAGAAACATTTCTTCGAGGAATTCATAAAATTCTTTAAAATTAAACGTTGAATTGAAAATATTTAATATTTTTTTTTGTTAAAGTACGTTTTTGAAATTACAACACAGCTTTTTTGACTCTTCATCTAGGTTCAAATTAAAATGGAAGAAAATAATTAAAACAAACAAAAATTTCTCTAATAAAATCAATAACATGTAAAACTCATCCAAATATGATAAAAACAAAGGATAAATGACTAACAATAACTATTCTTCTTCTTCTTCTGCAATAAAATTCAAACGTCAATTGAACTCGATGAACTCTCAATAAAAATCACCATCCACAAATAAACTTAAAGTTTTGTCCAACGACATCTCAAATAAAATTAATAATATCCATTCTAAATTTTACCACACAGGTTATGCATTGTTTCCTGTAATACTGAAACCACAAACAATTCGTAATTGTTTTACGAATGTAGTTTGTAGGTTCATTTTCCCAGTTTGAGAAAAAATTGTTTTCCTCTGTCCATATTGCCGGTAATACTGCTACAATTTACTCAGGTGTTTCACATAACCCTCAGCGACACCAGAGCCATAAATATTTCGTTATGTAACAATTTCCTCTGTCCCTATTTGAAACAGAAGCCTGCTAAAGAAAAAAATGAATTGTTTTCCTAAAATCACTATTTACATAAGTCTGCTTTTGGGTCATCTTTATGATATTTGTCACAACTGTCCAAATTGCCTTCAAGCCTTCTTCAGGTTGGTTTTGGAATTTCGAACTGTCCCTTTATTTTGATCCTGGGTAGGTTGGTCATGCATTGTTTACATCATTATTCAATTTTGCTGTTATTAATTTTCATGTTTTTAAAATGTTCTATATTGCAACTAAGTTATCATTTTTTACATTTTCATTAATTTTTCTGATTCAAAATTGCAAAGATGAGCACTGGTAAAATTTTTCTAAAAATTCTGAAAACATGTCCTTTTTTATAATATTATTTTTCATACTTGACAGGTTAGGCATTGAAATAACAGTGGATTTATTATTAGATTTTCTGACAGACCCAAAGAAGGTGAGTTCATTATTGGATAAGACAGTGGAGAACTTTCAGAGGGAAAATTAGCAGGAGATAACTGATAACTGACATCCATCAAACATGGTCCATGGAACTAGAACACCATACCCCAGTGATAGAAACAAAGGGTTCAGTTCGAAATTCCAGCCACTTCAAGGCCGGATCTTACAACGGCCGAAACGTTGTGACAAATATGGCGACAAATATGAACACAATAATGTATTAATAATTGACATATCAGAAATATAGACAGACTCTAAAGTCCTTTGAAAAAAAAAAAAACAATCAGAAAACGACTGCCTTGGAATTGAAGGATGAAAATCAAAACCAAAACCCCCATAAAAACAAAATCCTTTTAATTGGACAGAAACATATTTTTCATATTTAATTACTAATCCTACAATAAAAAAAAAAAAACACAAAATTTTACCAATAACGAATATTTAATCCAATAATAGGTTAAATATATATATATATATATATATATATATATATATATATATATATATAAAATTTATAGATGAAATATTTAATTTAACCAGTAGAAGACAATATTTATGAATAAAAATGACAATAGGAAAATTGGTAATTGTTGACGTGTTTGTTCAATGTGGACTTTATCAAAGCAAAAATACGAAAATGAAATTAAATGAACAAAGTAACTAATAAAAAAAAAAAAAACAGAATGTTCCTAGCAACTGAATGTAGAGAAACGCTATTTTCATATTTTTAACTGAAAATAACGTCAGTATTTGTCACGTGTGGAGAATATTGTCATTATATCTGTGTTGATGTATTCAACCATTTTCTTTTGATTTTATGAATCTGTTGTGTATATTTCACAAAAAAAGAGCAGTAATTTTGTTAAGAAAGGTGGGAAAAAAAACCTGGATGTAGATTAATATTTGGGTAATTTTCTATGGCGGCACTCTCCAAGAATTTTCCTTCTGAGTGAGTTATTTTTTTTTTTATGAATGTAGCATTTTTAAAATCAAAATTATGGTTGAATTTATTTCTATGTATGATTAGTGTATTAGTTAAGTTTTTTGTGAGGTCTCTTTTGTGCTCATAAATGCATTTTTTTAAACTTCTACTTGTTTCTCCATTATATTGAGAGGAACAGTTTTGGCAGTTTATTTTATAAATGCCTGCTTCAGAAATATTAGTGCTATTATTGTTTGAAGATCTTAGTATATTCATAATGGTTTTGGAAGTGTTTGTGACTATTTCAAGATTATTTAGATCGGATAGGTTATTCTGGATAGTGGACGTGACAGAATTGGTCGGCAGTATTATGTATCTGTTTTCATGTGATTTACTATTGCGGATTATGTTATTAGTTTTGTTTTGGTTGTATATTTTGTATGCTTTTCTTCTTGTGTTGTGGATGAAATGATATGGGTATTGTAGGTTTTTGAATGTGTTTTCTATGTATGTTTTTTCTTTAAATAAATATTGAGGACTACAAATTCTTAATGCTCTTAGATAGAAACCTAAAATAATTCCAGATTTAATTTTTGAAGAATGATTTGAGAAGAAACTGATCAGATCATTTTTGTTTTAGCCTTTCTGTAAACGTCAAAATTGAGTTCGTTATTATTTTAATTAACAAAATGTCCAGGAATGGAATGTTTGTAGTTGGTTTCAGTTTCAATTGAAGTTTATTGTAGGTTCAATGTTGAAAGTTTGGAGAGAAGATCCGTTAAATTGGTGTTTTTTGAATTATTAATAATGAGTCGTCTATTGTATCTGAAATATGAAGAGTTTGTAGGAGAATATTCTTGAATGAATCACTTTCTGAAATTTATTTAAAAGAAGACACGCAGAAAATATGAGAGGAGATCCCATTTGGCACACCAAATTTCTGTCTGTAATTCACAATTTTATTTTTGCGTGTCTATATATAAAGTAGAGCAAAATATTATAATTTTTGGATATTAAAAACAAAAAAATGTTAAAAAATCTCTGTCTGTCATTGTCTGTCTGTCTCTCCTATTTTTTATAAATCTCTTTCTCCAACTAAATATATATATATATATATATATATATATATATATATATATTGTTGTGGAGTGGTTTCAAACAGTGGAGGCTTTATTTGTACTAAGTCAGTCCTAAAATAGGTTCGACGTACAAAACGTTAGGAACTTGATATAATAGGTATAACGCAGTAATCTAGTTGTGGTCGCTGATACTTTAGTATCCGACTAACGGTCGTCCGACATCGACTGACTGCCCGACCCACTGAGCGATTGCCTCGTTGCTCTTACTACTCCTACTTATTATAGGTGGGAGAGTCTATTAACTATAGAATAGGTGTGTTCCACTATAACATAATATATATATATATATATATATATATATATATATATAGATAGATAGATAGATAGATATGCCGTGTGGACCCTCCAGGTGGTAAAATGGTTAGCAAGCTTGTCTTGCTAGAATAATTATGAGTATTGAATTCGATCCTCAATGGGCGCCCTCTATTTTCGGCTTTGTGTCACAACAGAGCTATGCTTGGAAAATCACTATATATATATATATATATGTGTGTGTGTGTGTTTGTGTGTGTGTGTGGTGTTTGAAAATTTCTTTTACATTCTGTTTTGATTTTATTTTAATAAAGAAATTTTTGTATTGGAAATTTGATAAAAAGATTACTTAAATATCTATTATTATCATATTTATATTATATATATTATCTATCTGATAATGTCAGTTCGTTTATAAAATGGTGGAAAATAATGTTTCCTTCAAACAAATATAATATTGATTCTATCTATCTATCTATCTATCTATCTATCTATCACTGCCATTTTTCAAATTGTGAAATGATCAATATATTCCTGAATATATATATTTTTTTGTCAGGATAAATATATAGAATTGGGTTTTCAGTTCATTGATTTTAGATTATGTTAGAAGATTGATGAGGTATTTAATTTCATGAATGGATTTAACTAATTTGATGGAGAAATCGAACTCATTAATCTGTAGATAAAAAAATTATCCTTTATGTCCAAAACCGAAGTTGCCCGATTAAAAAAAAAAAAAGAAAGAAAGAATGAAGGATGGGAGAAAACATGAGTTTTCGACGAAGATAGAGAGAAAGTATTGAAAGAAATAAGTTAGAACCATTAAAATAAACAGATTTTAAAGGAGAAAATTGAGAGATATTGAAAAAATTCCAAAGTAATATAGAGAAAGTCTTTATAAACTACAGGAGTTTGCAAGAGAAAGAAAAAATTATTTGTTTTAAGTTTATTTGTTGTCTGGGAATAAATTTTAAATGACAAATTGGAAAATCGATTTTCATTATGAAACATTGCTTGTTCTGACATGAGTTTAGGAAAGAAACAAAGAGATGCAGTAAAATTTAGATAGATATGAACAGACTTAGATAGATAGATTCAAGAAAAATTGGATAGATATATAGATTTCATAGAGAAGAGGAAATAGAAATTGATAGATAGATAAAAGATATTGAATAAACTGAGATATTCAGATAAATTTAGACTGATGAAATAAAATAAGGATTTTACATAATAAAAAATAAATATATATATATTATATATACAGATCAGACAGACAGACAGATTTAGATAGAGAAAAAAAACATTGAGATGGATAGAATCAATTATAGAGAAAGATATATAATTTAGAAATTTAAAAAAAAAAAACATGAGATAATATATTACACAGTTAGAGAGCAAAATTATACATACATACATACAAAACTTTAAATATTAATGAGATAGATAAGGATTTGTTCTTAGATAAAGAATAAATTGAGATAGATAAGATAGATTGATAGATGGAAAGATAGAGAGAGAGAGAGAGATTGAGAGAATCTTATTAGATGGAAAAGATTGAAAACAAAGAGTTGCCTTTTTAAGGTAGAATGACCAGGTGAAAAGTAATGAAGAAAAGAAAATTTTGGTGTTTCAATGAACTCTATTTTTGAAGTTTGCCTGTCATCTTCTTTCCATTCTTTTTTGCTGATTGGTGTCAAAGAGTTCAATTTATTTTAAAGTTCCTGTGTAATGGATTTGGAAAAAGAAGAAGTATAAAAAAATAAATATTTGTTACAAGTTCAACTTTTGGATTTATTTTGATTAATTGAGAAGAAAAGGAATTTTAATACAGACAACCGTTTGCCATCCAAAATCGACATTAAAACGGATCCAACTAAGACCTCTCACGTTAATAAAAAAGCGTATTATTCGATCTGACAAATAGAATAGGGAAATTGATTAACAAGACGGAACTTAAATAAGAGAATTGGGTCAATTTATTTTTTGGTGGTTTGAATATCTAAGTATATCCGTGATAATAGAAGGATTTAAGAATCTTGAAAAAACAAAAAAAAAAAAAAAAAATTTGGGAAAAAAAAAAACAAAACAATTTAAAAAAAAAAAAAGTGAACCCCATAAAAGTTTTGACACTCAAAAGAAAAAGATGAAAGAAAAAAGATAAAGAAATATTTTTTTCTGCTTGAAAAAGTATTTCACAAGATAAATTATAAGGATACATAATGAGATTATATCTTATATTTGGGAGAGTTTGATACAATCAAATTTAAAGGATATTATTCTTAACCCGATTAAAAATGGACATAAACTGATGGCAGAACAGCGACGTTGAGTAAATGAATAGTAAAAAAAAATGATTAAGGAGAAATAACAAAAAGACAAAATTTACTAAGAGCTTTACATAAGGGATGGAAATCAGGAGAGAATGATGATTTAAAGGGTTTTTGGCATATAAAAGAAGAAGAAGAAGAAGAAGAAGAAGAAGTCCAATTGAATGATTTTATGGCGGAACAAGGTTTAGGATAGATAACAAAAGACAAAATTTACTAAGTAACTAAAAGGTCATTTTTTTAATTTATGGAGAGCCATGAAAAAAGGGACATGACATTGAAGAAGAAGAAGAAGAAGAATGAAATTTTATTTTATGGAAATGAACCTTTTTCAATTAGATAACAAAAAACAAAAATTTAATAAGAGTTACAAACTCAGGAAATTGTGGAGAAATTAGAACCAACTGTTATGGTATAACCAGAAACAGGTACTGTTTTTAAAGAAATTTTTTATTTGTTGTCTCATCTGACAGTCGAGCCGAACATGCTGATTCACTTTTTTTAGTAACACTCTCGTTTGTATATGTTTTTATTACTGTTTCTGTTAATATATTTGTTTAACTCAATTCTTCTCTTTGTGTCTTTATTTCTGGCCCTTGAAAAGAACACAACACCAACGGTTTGTGAAGAGACAAAAGAGGTGAAGACGACAAACTTGGTCAGGAAAATTTAGAATATATCATTCTTTTAAATAAAATGACAATTATTTATAACTATTAATGAGCAATGAGGAAGTGAAAGAGAAAAATAAAAAAAAAGGATATTTTATTCTAAACAGTTTTTAAATTTTAAAATCGGAAATGTTTTAAAAAGAGCGCCAATTGCCTAAAACTTTAATGTGACATTTCAGAAAAAAATGAAGATTTATTTTGATAGTGAAATTTTTTGCTTTCAAGAAGCTGTTGGTTTAAAAGTATCATTAAAAATATGGGTTGATGGAAAGAGCTCAAGAACAATCTAAATGGAAGAAAAACATGAATAAGTTATTATAAGGTGGAATATTGCATGCGTATTCATGTGCTTATCTTATAAAAATAGTAGATCATTGTTTATTTTACATCGTCACTAAATGTTGGTGACCAGGTAAAAATAAATGAAAAACAACAGCAAAAACAGATTCAAAAATGAATTTCATAGAGTCATTGGAAAATTTCTATGTCCCATTGATGTTTTAGCGCAAAATTTTCTGCACACTGTTTGATATTTTTCTTAAAAATCGACATATATTATTTCTTCCTTATGATCAGTTCCATATTCTCCTGGTAACAACTTAAACTGACGCCTATCACTAAAGAGATTTTTATGGGATTTTCTTGGTGCTTGTATTGCATATCAAATGATTGATTGCTTTCTACGGTTTATAAAACCATTGCAGGTTATTTAAAGCCAGAAAATATTTTTAGATTGTAAGATTTTTTTGAGATGAAAATGTGAACATATATTCTATATCAGGATCAATATATAAACCGATCCCTCATATTATGGCCACGGTAGATTCTATACTTTTATAGCCTAGAGAATATAAATAAATCTAAAAGACATGCCTGTGTAGCTAATCAATATTTCACTCATTGTTTTTTTTACGGCTTATCAACCCTTTGCGGGTTATTTAAAGCCAGAAAATATTTTTAGATTTAAGAAATTTTTTGGCGATAGTAATGATTTAGTGATACAAGTCTGACTAATTAACACATAGCTGGGGAGAGAAGAGGTGGATTCACACCTTTCCCCCAGGGTATTTGCGCGTATGTGATATAACGAACCCGACTGGAATTGGAACTCGGCTCTCCGATTAACTATTCCGAGACACTGTCCAGTGCACATCCAAGTTTATAGCACCTGGTATTTACAAGCGGTTACCCATCTAGGTACTGATCAGCCTTGACGTTGCTTAAATTCACTAGGGTAACCGATGTTTTCACCTGATACGGCCGTATACCGGGATAGAGAAAAAAAAACAGATAAAAATCTATCATAAAACAGATAGATAATTAAAATCAGAGAGTGAGAGAGTGTGTGTGTGAAAGAGAGTGTGTAAGAGAGAGAAGGTGGGAGAGAGTGAGAGGGGGAGAGAGAGAAAGAGAGGGAGACAGAGTGAGTGAGAAAGAGATGGAGGTAGAGAGAGGGAGCGAGAGAGAAAGAGAGTGAGAGAGAGAAAGAGGGAGAGTGGGAGGGGAAAGAGAGAAATGGAGTGAGACAAAGGGATAGAGAGAAAGAGGGAGAGAGAAGGAGTGAGAGAGAAAGAGGAAGGGAGTGAGTGAGGGAGAGAGATACAACTACTGAAATAAGGAAGGAATCAAATTAGTACACAAGTGTGTTTCGGAATTCTAATACTTCTTATATCTTACGTAGATTTCACTGGATGCGGTGACCATAATTTTATTTCTTGTGGGTTTTTCTGTATTTAGGCAGCAAATTCTCTTTTAGGCATGTCTGATTAAATAAATTACAGATATAAGGTCTGCTTATTTTTAACATAACCCGTTCATACTCACGAATAACCTTCCGTGTATTGCAATCGAATGATGAGAGAAATGCGCTAAAACTCTGAAAATCGCTTTTATTTCCCATGTCCTTTCGATCTTCTTCAAGGATCATCTTCAGTGGTGCAAGTAGTAATTTAAAACATTGTATGTTACTATCCATTACTGTAATTTTTTCTTTTTGATTTTAAATGCAACGGTTGACAGTTATGCTTACCGCTCATTAGAACGTGAAAAAATTATCCTCTATGGAATTTTTTCTTCTATGTTGTAATGTCATGTTCATGCGCGCATTAAAATGCGAAAACCTTTTTCTTTTATAGGCATTTCAGAGCATTATTACAGTATTCCTAGCTGATTCTGTTTGATTCATATTTGCATCTTCTGATATCAAACAAACTTTTACTGTTTCTTGAAGTCTCTTGTTAATAATAATAATAATAATATTTCATGAAAGGAATTCAGACAATTTAATAATATTATATCTAATATAATTATGTATAAAATACCTGGAGTAAATTATATAATGAAGAAGGTATGGCTAAATTTAAATGACTAAATATGAATAAAAACGAATTAGCCAAAAATAAATAATAGTAACAACAACAAATAGGGAAATCCAGGTAAATTGATCAGTCATAATTTTGAAAAATCATGTTGAAAATACATGTCTGCTGACGGCACCAACCAACAAATGACAT